CTTTTCCTGCAACTATTTTGGGGGGGGGGGAAGGAGCTGAAGACTCTCTGCTCACTTTGCACTCTTTCCCCTCTCTCAGGAGGTTGTTTCTGCAGCCCTCTGATGCCCTTCAGTAGAGTCTTCATCATATTCCAGGCAAGAGTGGTGTTTGGTGTATTGGCTACAAACTCCATGATCAGCCTTGGTCTTCTAACAGCAAACCCAAGGCTTTTCCAGGCTTATCCAGCTGTGGAGGGCTGGGTGGGCTGCAGCAGCACAGGTGGACAGGATTGAGGCAGGGTGGGCACATCAGAGGGGAGCAGGTGTGGCCGGCCACCCCTGTAGCTGGCTGGGCCTCAGAGACCTCAGCAGTAATGTCCGGCCTAGGAGGAAGCCAAGCAGGCCGCTCTGAACAACGAGAAGTTGGCCATGGCCATTTCCTGCACACTCAGCTTTCCTTTTACTGTCTTTCGGAGGAAAATAAGTTATAAGAAATTCAGGATGGAATTCGGGTTTTGGAGAGTTGTGATGATGTTCCAGAAGAAGACAACTTAACTATATTTGAATAAATGTAGATTGTCATACCGTACTTAACAAAAAATAACACATCCCCTGAAAATAAGCCCTAGGGTGTCTTCTTGAGGAAAAATAAATATAAGACCCTGTCTTATATTTTCAGTGAAACAGGATAGGTAACTGCAGTGAAACCCAGGCAGAGGCCATCTGAAACTATGCCTGGGCTGCAGCTATGTCCTGGGCACAAACATTTTAATGTAACGATCTTTAAACGTTCACCCCCCTTTAATCGGCCACCTCTGTCAGTAACCACACTCTCGCTGCTTCTCCGCTGATGAGGGCGACAGTGATCCCAGATCTGAGTAGCCAACGACTATTGTGGGGATAGTGCGGTCATACGCCCAAGGTCAAAGACAAGTGTGCTTCAGTCTGGAGGCTTCTCAGTCATGCTTGTGCCACTTGCTTTGTACCCAGGACATAATTTCCTACCATCGGGCTCCAGGCCTCCATCCCTCAGATTTCAGAAGCTGTCGTTTCTCCCCTCTCCATTAGCAAACGCTGCTCTGAAGATCATGAACTAATCTGCACGGATGAGTGCAGAAGGCAGACAAAGAAATGAACGGGAGCGTGTCTCACTATGGGGCGTTCCCATAGTATTGGGCTTAGACAAGCCCTGAGCCCAAATCCCAAAGCCCTGACCAACTCAAACACCCCTCTGAGGAGAGAAGATATTTTTAAGGGTCGGGGGAAGAAGGAACCCTCCTTTTCCCCAACCCGAAAATTCAAAAGAACCCCAACCAATCAAAAAAGGAAGCCCAAAAAAAAATGAAAATTTTAAACAAAAAAAAAATTAACGGGGAACAAAAAAGGAACAAAAAATTTTTTTAAGCAAAAACAAAAACCCAAGAAAAAAACGAAGTGGGAACAAGGGGCAAAAAAAAAAAAAATATTCTTTTAAAAACCATTTCATGCAGAGAAAAGGCAACCCGTACAGGCTCCTGATGGTAATGTAAACAAGTAGAGCCGCTATGGAGAGCAGTATGCAGGTTCTTCCAAAAACTAGGCCTAGAACAACCATAATGTGATCTAGCAATCTCACTCCTGGGAATCTATCCAAAGGAAGGGAAATCATTACATCAAAGAGACATCTGCACCCCCTTGTTTACTGCAGCACTATTCACAATAGGCAAGATACGCAATAAATTTAAGTGTCCAACAACAGATGAACGAGTAAAGAAAATGTCCAGGAGTCCTCAAAACTACAGCCTGAGGGTCACATGTGGCCTGCCAGGACATTTATCCCGCCCGCCGTGTGTTTTTGCCGCCGCTGCCTGTCCTGCTTAGCAGCCGACTCGTCCCAGGCCCACAGTGCGCATGTGTGGAATGTGCCCCGACTCTCCAACGGCCCTCCAGCGGTCTGAGGGACAGTGAACTGGCCCCCTGTTTAAAAAGTCTGAGGACCCCTGGATACACAGTGGTCACAAATAAAGAATGAAATCCTGTTATTTGCAGCAACATGGATGGAACTGGAGGTCCTTATGTTAAGCGAAACAAGCCAGTAACAGAAAGTTAAATACGTGTTCTCACTGCATGTTCTCACTCATATGTGGAAGCTAAAAACGTTGATCTCATAGAAGTAGAAAGTAGAACAGAGGATACTAGAGGCTGGCAAGGGTGAAGGAAGGGAGGGATAGGGGAAGAAAATGATTTCACATGTGAAGACTAAATATAACGTGTGACCCTGGACAAAAATCCTAAAACAGAAAAAAAGACATTGGGTAAAAATTAATGAATTCTGAATAAAGTATGGACTTGATAATGCATCAATTTTGGTTTATTTGTGACAAATGTACCACACTAATGTAAGATGTTAATAATAGGGGAAACTGGGTGCAGGATATATGAGATTTATCTTCATAACTTTTCTTTAAATCTGAAATTATTCTAAAATAAAAAAGGTTATTTTAAAAAATGATTTCAGATACAAAGAAGGTGTTGAAAAGCAAAGGGAGGTGGGACAATAAAAAGTTACACTGATGACTAAAGTTATAATACCAAATAGAAATATTAATACCCCACACAGATTTACAGAAATGATGTCAGCAAATCATCTTTCTCTAGAAATAGCACAGTGGAAACAGAGCATTCCAACTGGGGAGCACAATGTGGTAGAGTCCAGCAGCACCAGCAAGGTTTTGCTCACTTGAGAATGGCACGTGTGCAATGCACAGTTTTTAGAAAGCTAAAGGTTGAGAGTCAAAAAAGATTCTTGGGCTTTATTTTTTCAGTATCCTAACATTAACCTAATGGAATGAACTATTCTACTCAGCTGTTTGAAATGGAAGTCTATCTCTAAAAGTCACCTTTTGTTGAAGTTTTTTTTAATAAGACATTTGATTATTATTGTTACCATTTTTGTGAAAAATTTCTAACACACACACAAAAGTAGAACAGTGTGACAACCCTCTGTGGGTTATCAAGTCTCACCACCTTGTCACAACTCTCCTCCCCACCCATTTATTTTTCCTCTAGAATGTTGTAAAGCAACTCCTGGATATCAGAGACATTGTATGTAATCTTTCTGTGACTATTTAGAGAGCCCCTACCTGCAACCTACTCTTTTAGGAGTTGAGGGCACGGATGAGGAGCAGGGGAAGAGCCAGCTCCGCTCCTTACCTATGCCCACCCTTTTCCTTCAGATATGCACACAGGGGCAAGGGGCATCTCAGAAGAAAGAGATTGCCTCCAAAAAATGAGGCAACGTCAGCTTAATGTGGTGAGAGAGAACCCAAAGAAGGTGAAGATTTTTCTAAGAGGCTGACAGAATGAGGATTCAGAAAGAAATTAGATAATGATTTTTTTTTTTTTTAAGAAAAGATAATTATAGCTCTTGCAGCCCTGGCTTTGAGACATACACCTGCTGTGAGTATTTGAAGATACTGGAGTGAGACTAGATAATTACAGAATTAAGTTTTGGCTTGGAGGTAGCAAGACGTCAAAGAATGAAGAGCGTAGCGTCACAGTAAACCTTAGAAATGAAGAGATCCACTTCCTCAGTTGAGCTGCAAAGGAAACCTAGACATGAGGAAGGAGAAAATGGTCATTAATAATCACTTGATTCTTCTCAGTGAAGTGGAAGCAAGATCGCAGCCTAGCATCGGGAATAGGATTGAATTGGAAAGAAAGGAGTCCACAAGAACTCCAGGTTCTTTCCTATATTTTCCAGCCAACTAGCGATGAGGTGAGACCACATGGCCAATTCTGGCCAATGACATGTGGGCATAAATGCCTTGCGTCACTTCCATGGTGAGGCCCTTGAGAACTGGGGGGAGGGGCTTCTACTATCGCTTTCTGCAAATATCTTCACTCCTCTCTTTGTGTCACAACAACCCTGCGAGGCATACAGTGAGATGGTAGCATCACAAGACAGGGAAGACCTGGATTCTAAATCATTATATGGAAGACAGCCCGGCCAATAGACGTCAGCCATCCCATGCCTGAGATTCGGACTTTTGTTCTGCTAACACGCTGATATTTTGAGGTCTATTTGGTAGTGCGGCACAGCATAGCTTATTCGTCCTGGAAACACACTCACTGTCCAGCCAAAGCTAGACAGTTTGAATTTGTAGCGAGCCAGACTTAGGGAGCACATGTGGTTTCCCCTAACGTGCTGGATCTCTGCAATTAGACAAAACTCTAAGAACGACCATCATGTCTCACACCCCCTCGTAGGACCTAACATAGTGTTGAACAAAGATTCATTGAATGCAGAAACACATTTAAAGAAAGCCTCGGAGGTTGACCGTTTGGAATTCTCATGCTTCATAAAGAGCAAAGAAGAAATCTTAGACGCTTCAGTTAGAAAAATAAGGCGGTCGTCTAAAGAGATAGCTCTGGGAAGAGTGTTTGAATTTTCAGGGTCATCATGTTCATTGTGTTCAATAACAATGAAACGATTGAGCAGGGTAAGTTCCCACAGGCCAGGCTTTGGTTTAAGTAGCAGACCTGGGGCCAGGACACTCTCTCAGACACCATGCCGATTTAAAAATTATGCTTACTGCTCGACTGTTCCTCAAAATATTTTTGATCAACTATACAATTTCAAAACAACTGTAGATGTGAGTCCTGGCTATGGTACAGTCTCAGGGAATGTTTCAAAAACAACAGTGATCATTATAGGATCAAGACATTTTAGAGATGATCTGAAGGTATCATAAACTTCTGTTCTTAGAAAAATAAGGCAATCCCGGCCAGCAACAGTGATGTTAGGTCAGCAGGTTCCCATCCTAAGTGCCTACAAACTCAGGGGAAGGAGCACAGAGGAAATATAAGTAACAGCTTGAGAAATCATGACAGAGCATAGAATTTCACACTGCTTTCATAGACTCAGCAGTTTCATACTTAAAAGAATGAACTGGAATAAACCCATAATTCCTTACAGAAGATAATAATTATAATTAACATTTGCATAGCATTGTATAATAAAAAAGTGTTTTCCTGTACATTGTGCCATTTATTTCTTACAACAAATGTCTGGAGTAGGTAATATTATTAGCTCTATTCGAGGTAAAACAAACAACAAGCTACAGACGCCGTTGACTTTCCATTACAGGAACATTGGCAGAAATTAAGCCCAAATGTGGGTGCTCTACTGAACCCCTTGGTTGCTAGAGCCAGAGCTGGGCGTAACTACAGAATGTGCAGCTGGACCAGAGGGAACCCTCCACCCCATCCTAGGTGGGCCATGGGGTCTGTCCAGTCTATTGGGTGTGACACTTGTGGCACACTTGCCCAGAGCCAGGGGAGCACATGCCACCTCAAACGCCACCCATGGATGACGGACATACTGCGTCCTAGATGCATCTGATGTTACTGGTGCTTTTCCACGTGAAGTTGTAGACATATAAGAAGCGATTTTTGCTTATACTGCAGGCTGGACCTAATAGAGTGGAAACTCTAAGTGCTCTGGAATTTGTTGCAGAAGTTTTAAGCAGTTTTATGCCTTCTAGGAGGCAGAATCTTAAAATTACCTTTAAGGCCCACTGTCCCTTTGTTCTAGAAAACGACCCTGGAGTGGGCTCCTCAGTGACGCAGATTGGGGGAAGTTCTGGATGTGGTGGTCAGCAGGTGTGTTGTATCTTCCGTGCCTTGCAAAAACGGAAAAGTTTTTAAGTCCAGGTGAAGTCGTGCAGACTAAATACGTAGTTGAGCTAACCGTGCATGTTCTGTTACATGTGCTCCCAGTCGTGTGGCTTCTTCCTTGAGCACCTGCGTGCAGGAGAAGCAGAACTGTGATGGAGAAGGTGTGAGCCCGCAGCCCGGCCATGGGAACAGAGCTAGGAAAGAAATCAGGCAGAGTCTGGTGCGGTTCATCGCTATTGGGACTGTCGCTCTCTTACTTAAAATGTGTTACTTAAAATCAGATAGCCTAAGCTTCGATCCATCAGATGAAATGGAGCCATTGTGGAATTTCCATCCAGACCACACCTGTGAAAAGGGTGGGGCATGTCCCGAAGGGAATGAATATGTGTAGTCAGTCATCCTGGAGAAGAGGGTCCCAGGACAAATGAGGAAGCTGGCTTTAGAAAGGACCAGGTAACCTAGTGCTCTCCTCTCTTTGTGCTAATGTTGGCCAGAGCTCCGGTGTATACCACGTCTGGTGGAGGAAAGGGCCTTTGTCGTGTGGGAGTGAGCTGGGGCCACACAGGGGTGGCCCGGTAAGTGACTCTGAGGAGCTAACAAGCTCATGTGGTAGATATCTATATTCTAATCTACATATTTGCATGAATAATATTATTTACATGACACTTTTCCTCCATTAGCTCTATATCCTCAGTTTAATCTCGCTAAAAGTCGTGTCTAGCTTCCTTTGCGAGTAAGGAATTCGAGAGTTGGCCTGGCATTGGCTGTGCAAGGGGAAGAGAGGAGTGACAGGGACTGCACTGTCACTGGGAGAGGACCACCATGCCCAGTGGATTGGTGACCACAGGACTGTGACCAACCATAGCAGCAGCAGCAGCCCAGGAACAAGGCGGAAGAACCAAGGCCCTAGAACCTGCATCCAGAGGATGTTCCAAAATCGCTGGGCAGAGGAAGTTCTGCCAGAAAAGTGATGGAGCCTCAGACCACTGAATTGGCTACACCTAGAAATGGGACAGATTAAAACAATTTCTATTTTGGTCACATGTAATTGTATAAAAGAAAAAAAAGAAATGAAAAAAAATAAAACAATTTCTATCAAGAAGACTGTGTGGAAAAGAAAATTAGCTCCATGGCTGATCAATGTTATTGTTCTGCTGATAAAATCATAGCAAATTCCTTTTGTTTTGTTTTTAGCGTAGAGGAGACGCAGTAAGGTGCAAGAATCAGAACTGAACCATTTTTTAGTGTGTGTCCCGGTGAATACGTATCCAGAAAAATTACTTGAGAAATTGTGAGGTCTTAAATTAAAGTTTAAAATCCATTGTGGAGGGGAAGGGCATACCTCTAACCCTTTCTAGGGAGAGGCAAACCAAAATGTTTGTACTCTCATATTTTCTTGAAATAAAATTTTAAAAAATCTTTTCCTTCTATCATAGTTATTAAAATGAGAAAGTAAACTAATGTAGTATAGAAACATTTTCATAACGAATTCGTTATTTTCATAACGAATACCGAAATGTTATGTAATGTCATAAATATGCAAGATTTGTTCTAAAGTATGCAATATTTAGTATAACTTTTCCAGTTATGAGAAGTGCTTTCAGGCTTCATGAAGAAGGAATTTTATTTTATGACTGCACGTTTACCCCTCTCAAGCTTGCAAATAAAAGGGAGCATGTGAGAGAACTGGGGCTGTGCACCTTCCTCTAACACTCGTAGAAGGAGGAAAAATCCTTTGAAAAGCAGATTCAAACAATTTAGTTAATAACATTTCCTTCTATCCCCACTACTCTCTCATGAGTTGGGTGATTTTGTGTAAGTTATTAATATTAAACCTACTTCTACCTCAGGTTCATCACCTTTAAAATGTGGCAATGATAGTTCTACCTCACAATTGTTTTAAGAATTAAATTAAATTAAATTAATGTAAGTGCCCTGGACTTACATATGGAAAATACTTTCATGCCCTAAAGAGTTCTGATCAGCCCACAGAGATGATCATCTTTATCATCATAAATTGTGGTTTTTCTCTCAATACCTGAGTTATGTGGGTATTTCTGAAAGTAGCACAGACTCCTATCTTGAGGAAGCTATTAGGAATTGTCGTACAATGCCCCCATGTCTAGGTGCAGGATGGCATAAATACATATTTGCAAGAGATTTTTAAGGGGCCATCTATGCATTTCATCTGAAAGTGAAAAACAACTTTCCATCAGAGCCAGGGAGCACCTGGAGAGAAAGAAAGAAAGAAACCTGGAAATAGCAGCTCGGTGGAGGGTCTGAGAGGCTGAAGCTGTGTGTGTGCTCTGTCCCTGGCCTCCCCAACAGCTTCCTCCATGACTTTGCCAAAGCAACACAGGGCGTGGGACCAGAAGCTTGCCCACACGATAGCATGGTTATCTTGGCATGAGAGCGAGTGTTGCAAACTGGCGTGCTACTTCAAAAGAACTGGGAAACAAAGCAGATGTGAGTTTTGACATACACTCTGAGAGTGGGGACAGCCAGTGCACGGCAAAAGGGGAAATGCTAATGAGCATTATTTTAAGCAAAGTGTACCATTGCTGCAAGTAGGTGGCTTACACAAGTGGCTTTCATAAGCAACCCAGGCTTGACACCTTTGATCCTTTCCTCCAGGTGGGTTTTTTTTTGTTTTTTTTTTCTTTGAGACAGAGTCTTACTTTTTTGCCCAGGCTAGAGTGAGTGCCGTGGCGTCAGCCTAGCTCACAGCAACCTCAAACCCCTGGGCTCAAGCGATCCTCCTGCCTCAGCCTCCCGAGTAGCTGGGACTATAGGCATGCACCACCATGCCCGGCCAATTTTTTCTATATATATTAGTTGGCCAATTAATTTCTTTCTATTTATAGTAGAGACGGGGTCTCGCTCTTGCTCAGGCTGGTTTCAAACTCCTGATCTGGAGCAATCCGCCCGCCTCGGCCTCCCAGAGTGCTAAGATTATAGGTGTGAGCCACCGTGCCTGGCCCTCCCAAGTGTTTTGATTTGGTTGGGGTGGGGGTGAGCTTGAGAAACTTTTTTTTTTCTCTTTGTCATGCTTATAATTCTTCTCTCCATTTCTCCATCCTGCCAAATAAAAATCCACCGGTGAGAATAGACGTCTCTTTCTATTTGAAGATTTACGAAGGCACTTGAAATAATCACCCCCAAAGGGGAGCGTTAGGAACTGCATGACAAAGTATCACCTGCATCACCCAGTGAGTGTCTCCGTCTAATGCGAGTGACACAGAGCCATCTCCCAGCAGTGGGAAGGCTTGGCCAGGCCCATCAAGCTTCATTTGCTCCTCAAACCTGAAGGGCACTGAAGGCACAGCCTTTTGGGACATCTGAGAGTTCGGGGTGATGAGGAAGAGTAAGCAAAGCCCGCTAGGAAGTGAAGAAGAGGCAGACACCCACGGAAGAACCGCGGCTCTCTGCCCATCAGTAGGAGAAGCTGGCTGTCCCCCTGGGGAGTGGGACAACATTCCCCTAATTAGTTACCCAGCATCTCAGAAGTCTTTGTTAGGGGAACTGTAGAAACCCCACAGCAAAGAGACTAGCGCCTTCATTTTGAGGACCGATGAACTAGCTCACGGGGGAGTTAAACTTAGAGGAAGAAGAAGAGGAGAACAGGACAAGGGATGGACGTACACAAGTGGCAAAATTCAGGTCCATCGGTGGCACTTACAGTGAAGGGCCTAAGGCAGGGGGAACCTTTTCAGTGTCCTTCAGAGAACTTTTTCTTCCCACTTCTCTGGCCCCTCCTCAGTCTCCTGTGCAAACCAACCTCATCTCTACATCCGGTGCTTCTAGGGCTCTACTGGATCTTCTTCCCTCTCATGTCATACACTCTCCAGGTGTCCCCAAATACTCCTGTGGCTTCAGTGGCTACCTGAGCCCTGAGGACCCTCTCACCCAAAGTCCCATGCCAGACCCACTCCTGAGCCTCAGACCACACATCTAACTGCCCCCCTGGGCTTCCCTACCCAGGTTCCTCAGAGACGTCAAACTCAACACGGTGAAGACAACGCACCAGCTCTCCTCAGAGCCTGGCTTTCTCCACATCACGTCTTTGTGAATGGCATTATCTCTCACCCAGGCCAGACACGTCCATCTCCTCCTCTCCATTGCCATGACTACTGCATGTATTCACATTCTATTTCTCTCTCACCGGGACAGCCATCTGGAACCCTAGCTCCAGTCTCCTCTCCTTCTAGTCAGTTCTTCACAGTGTTATCATGGAAAAGTTTATGCAAAATGAAACCTACTGTGTAGTGGGGGTTTTGCCCTTGCCTTGGAATTTGGTCTGGAGTCCATTGCCGAGAACAGTAGGCCACTCTGAGCACCAGAGAGCTGCAGCCATCCCCTTCCACTTCCACCATTACATCCCACATGTCTATACAGGAGCCTGGAGCTCACTAGGTCAGCAAGGAAGAGGGGTCACTGGGGCCTGGGGTGGAGGGAAGAAGTGCTTTGGCTTTCCCCCTCTCTTTCTCATAAGGAGAAGGGGGCACTATCCCTCCAGCCAAGGGTATATAAGAGTTTTTATGAAGAGTAGTGGTGCCCGCAAAGAAGGACCTCACCCCTCACCCCCAGCTTGATGTTTGCTGAATGACTTTAACTAGGAGGCCCATCCCAGTGACCTCAAGCAGACCATGAGAGAAGGTTCTTGGGAGAGCTTGACTTTCATCCCCTGGAGTTTGTCACCATATGTGAAGATAGAGGCAGGTGCCTGCCCTTGCTCTGGAGTAGTCTGAAAGACTTATCAGATGAAGGAAAAGAAGAAACAGTGGAGTGCATTTCCTGAGTGCATTTCCAATGGGAAAATGCAAGCCACAGATGGAGGCAGGACTGCAGCTGTCTTTAAGGGACTTGGGGGTATATTTTTGGAGGCAAGAACTAGGGAGGTGTCACAAGAGGCAATCTCTAGAATACATCACCCACATCAAAGAAGTGCAGTACCAAGATCTTGCAGAGCCTTCCAAAGAAATCTGAAAATGAACCCACAAAAGAACATTTTCTCCTTTTCCTTCTGTTTCTCCCTCCTTTAAATCTTATCCTGGAGGAGCAAGAAACAGGAATGATAAAGTAGACTCTAATCATAGGCTCTGACCTCCAGCTCAGGATTGATATGAAGATATGAAGATACAAGAAGATATGAAGGAATGTGAGAGTGATGTTATGATGTAGACTCTACTGGACTTGTCAATATCTGTAAATGAGTCAATTGTCAAAATAAGACTGTTCTTAAAGTTCAATGTCACTGGAAAGCTAAAGAATCTTCTAGAGATGTTGTCTCTAGAAGACATGTTGTCTCTAGAAAACAAAGTCATGTCTTTTACTCCAAAGTCACAATTATCGAGTCACCCTTCTGCTTAAAATCTTCTCAGTGGCTTCCAAACATAACTCTTGGCACATAATACACAAAACAAATGCTTAAAAAAAAATTAAGCACATCTATATTACCAAAACAAAAAACTGAGCCCAAGTCCTAATTTTCTATTTGTTATCCAGGATGTTGGACAAGATATCTACTTTTCTAAGCCTCAGCTTCCCCCTGTATAAAATGAAGAAAACAGCAATATTAACCTCACAACTTTGTTGCAGTATTAAATAATGAAATGAATGCAAGTATTATTCTGTAAATCACTCTGCAAAATATAAAGCACTACTGAAATATTCAGTCATATATGAGAGGATAAAAAAAATGTGGTCTCTCTCTCTATACACACACACACACACACACACACACACACACACACACACACACCATGGAGTACTACTCAGCCATGAAAAGGAATGAAATAATGTCTTTTGCAGCAACTTGGATGGAACTGGAGATTCTTATCCTAAGTGAAGTATCTCAGGAATAGAAAAAGAAACATCACAGGTACTCACTAATAATTGGGAGTACACATGGGAACACAGAGATGTAAAGGACATCAGAAACCAAGAAGGGAGGAGGATGGGGAGAGTGAAGGGTAAAAACTTATCTATTGGGTACAATGAACACTATTCTGGTGACAGGTACACTAAAAGCCCTGACTTAAATATTATGCAAGGTATACATGTAACAAAAGCATTTATATCCCCTTTATATTTTGAAATAACAAAAAACAAAACCAATACTCAAGATAGATGTCCCAGCTCAAGAAGATGGAGTGAAAATGCCCACCCACATTGGGGAGGTCCACTCTTCCTTACTCTACTGATTCAAATGCTAATCTCATCTGGAAACACCCTTATGAACACACCTAGAAATAATGGTTGACCGGGTTGCTAGGCATCCCTCAGCCCAGTCAAATTGACACATACAATTAACCATCACAGCAGGTATTTTTCCATTGTTATTAAACGCATTTTGAGAATATTAAGTAGACCATGGATTGACCACCTCTTGTTCTTCCTGGCTCCACCCAGCAGGCCCCATTATATTGTCTAATCTGTATCTGCATCTATAGCTACAGCTATATCTATATCTTATCCATATGGTATCTTATGTCGTCAATGAAAAGATAAGGAGAGATGTTCTTAGTTACAGCTTTCATTAGTTTGGGTGCTCATACTAACCATATTCATATTCAGATCAGTAACCAACAAAGGTAGGGCTATGAAATATAATTTGTTAGCTATCTAAATCTACATAGTTAATCAATATCTATAAAGATAGATAGATATAAATATTTCTTTTCATATATGACACACCGTATGTGACCCTTCCTTTTGTCTAGGCCGGTCTCAGCTTTGGTGCTGACCATTCCCCTGAGATGTGGCTGCAACTCAGCCCTGGCCCAGGTGGTCTGCCTTGAAGCTTGAGGGTTAATGGGACACTCTGTGCCCACCATAGGGAACCCAATGGCAACCCTGTCAGCCAGCAAGCACCAGCTACCTTCAGGATCCCTATCCAAGGAGCCGGGAAATTTCCTAGAAAATCCTTTCACGCTTGACAAAAACTCGCTTCCAAGACTTGATGCAAAAATCTTAGTTTGGTAATTGAATAGAAAAGGTGAACATTGATTGTTTCTTTGCACTCCCATCTCAACAGCTCTGCAGATAGTGTCTTGGGCTGACTAGAGAGAAGATCTTAGAATACAAAGGGGAAAATAATTTTTTTCAAAAGCATTACCCTGATACAAATTTGAACCATGAAATGGATTGGGCTATGTACTTGTATGTAGGGATGAAAAGATGAATGAGATATGACCCCAGCTTGTAACATGCCTCTTTTGGTGGGGATATATGTAAATGAATAATTATAATACAGAAGGAAAAAACTTCAACATTACCCTGCTTCTCAGTTCCTCCCTATTCTGCCTTTATTTTGTGATGGACTGAACACTAACTGGGCAGTGGAAAACTCTAAGCTGAGACACTTTATTTGGGCTCAGTAAGAATTTGACTGGCAAATAATTTATTCAGAAAAGCCAATAGGAAAGTAGTGCCTTTTGGCACACAGGATAAATAGCTGTAAGGGGTGGCAAGAAATGATTCTTTTCCTAATGAGAGAGTTTCAAAAATATACTAAAAAATCTGTTGCCACCTAACATTTTCAAAAACGTGTTATACATGAATCAGAATCGACACCTCCTCAAAGAACCATAGCTATGGATCTAGTAGCTTTCATATTAATAATAAAACTCATCTGGAAAGTTGGTGAAAACAAACGCCAAAACATTCAGTGGGAAAGCACATTGTAAGTGGCTTCAGAACCTTAAGCAGGAGAGGGTGCTATATTCTCCCCTAAGGATGACTGATCAAACTCATTTCTAATTTCTTATGCAATTTTTCTAGAGATTTATGTCACTACAATAAAAATGATCCAGATACAAATGGAAATATCTAATAAGCTACACAACCTTTGCTAACTGACTTCTAAATCAGAATCTTACCCACAAACAGGGATGTTTTTCCTCTAAACAAGTAACTCTTGGGGGGAATGTATGCTATGGAGTTTATGAAGACAGATTGATTCTGTGCCTCAGGTAACTCTCTTTAGGTCATTGTTCTTGAGATGCTCTGCCACCCACAGGTCATGTTTGACCTTGTGATTACTTTTAAAAGGGTCCACAGGAATGAAATATACTAATGAGTTCACTTGGTTCTAAATAGCTCTGGCATGATCACGTAAAGCTTCAATGCTTCCAGTTTCAAAATGCACACACACATTTGGTGCTAGCTTGAAACAGACGCAGCTCTTCAGCAATGCACAGTGGGAACGGGGACTTGTTTTACAAGTTCACTGCAGGGAATTTTATAAGGTTAATGATGCTGCTTTGGTACCAGTCTTGCAGAGCTTTCCCCAGCATCAATCCTCATGTGATGGTTTGACTATGTGTGGAGAAACTTGTGGCAAAAACCACTAATTTATATCAAATGGGTAAAAACGCACTTTGAAGCATGTATGGATTATTTCACATGATCTAAATATAGATTTAGTAAAGCATTGAATTAGATGTCCTGGAATTTATGTCTAAGCCTATTCTAAATTTTATATGCTGGGGATTATGTTTACCCCTGGCTTCTGACCGTCATTGCTTAATCACTCCAATAAAATTTGAACTGAAAGGGTAAGCCCTCTTTAAAAGTTGAAAGCTGAAATGTAGAAATCTGGCATCAAATGTCTCCCAACACTCCATTTAATAATCCTCATGATTTGTGCTTGTTGCCAAGTCGCCCATAGGCAAGGAGAACTTGCATCCTGGGCGGGAGGATAAAGCTGGCTCAGGGTATTTAGGCGCAGCTCACTGGCTGGCCCCTCCCCTTGTTGGGGTGGGGTGCTGGCTGAGGGGTGTGAGGAGGCAAAGACACAGGAAGCTATGACAGCGACTTTCTAGATGAGCCTGGAATTGGGAGAAAATTGGGACCAGGTCATAGCAAGTAGTAGCAGCAAGTTTTTGGTGCTGGTAACTATTAGACCTTTGACATCTCTAAATCTTTTTTTTTTTTTTTTTGAGACAGAGTCTCACTTTGTTGCCCAGGCTAGAGTGAGTGCCATGGCGGCAGCCTAGCTCACAGCAACCTCAGACTCCTGGGCTCAAGCGATCCTACTGCCTCAGCCTCCCGAGTAGCTGGGACTACAGGCATGCACCACCATGCCCGGCTAATTTTTTCTG